TTTTTTTTTTTTTTTTTTTTTAAGCAAGAAGTATACGATAAAGATAGGCGATCATGTCTTATATGGGCTATAATAAGTGGGCGAGTCGAAATAGTCAAACATTTACTGGAGAAATTTAACTACGATATAAACGATAAGGATAAATATGGATATACAGCAGTACATCACGCTGCACATGTTGGTAACACTCAGATAATAAAAATGTTATTCAAATTTCGAGACGGATGCAACATCAACGTAGGTTCTAATAATCTTAAATGATTTAGCACTGCTAAACAAAGATAATTTGGAGACGGAAGGGAAAAAAGGTTTTGTGCAAATGTCCGTACAATCTCAAGATTCCTGCAGAAGTTAAAAATTCGTTAAAAATTTGTGGCAGTCCTCTAAATTGTCGGTTTTCTAGAGCGTCGACAATAATAAAGCAACACCACTTCATCTAGCTGCTGGAAGAGGCTTGACAGACGTTGTTCGATGTCTAATAACACTTGGTGCGATTCGGGAAAGTGAAGACTTTCAGAACAGGTATTTTTGCCATTTGCCTCAGCGAGGCACATGACAGCTAAAAGTTGATCTCCTGTGGTGTTAAACGCATTAAACTGAAGCGGGTATCAAACTTCAACAACCAAATACATTTTAGAACTCCAGTGTTTTATGCATGTTTGGGTGGTCAAGCACATACATTGAAAGTCATGTTAAATGAATTGGACTGCGAACCACAAACAACGGACGCCTTGGGTCGTACAGCACTTCACTGTGCGGCATTTGCTGGATTCGTTGCTTGCATCGAAGTTTTAATCCAAAAATCGGTAGTGTTCAGATATTAACGCTTTCATTTTCTAACTCTTTTGTGCTGCAATAACACTTTAGAATATTTATGAGGAAAGGAAAAGGAAAGACACTTCAATTACGCAACACTTTTGCTGTTACTGGAAAAATATTATTACAATTCTGTTCTTATAATAATAACAACAGAAAACTTGTTTTACAGTTACTAATGTGCTACTTTATTGTTGCATTTACAACTATAAAAGCATAAAAATTATAATTCTATAGGAAAAAAGTTCTTTCCACAACGATACTGTTTTTTAATAACGTTCTATTCATAGGATCAGCTAATTTATGCTAAAGATAATGATCAACTAACTGCCTTACATGTAGCCTGCTTATCTGGAAAGCTCGACTGTGTGAAAATACTGCTGCAGTATGGAGCTCCAGTTAACACCTATTCAGCTCTGGAAGAAGTTACGGCACTTGATTGTGCATTCATGAATGGATATAAACAGGTACTTATAACGTCATATTTATACTGTAATCTGTTTAGCATTCTACTCAGTCAATGAATAAATAAATCAAAGTTTTTTAAGATTTATGATTTTCTCCGATCTAATGGTGGTCTGTTGGCAACTGAGCTTAAAGAAATGGCTGTGAGAATAATTCAGCGATGGTGGAGATCGCACAGAAAGAAAAAATTTTGTCGATCACCTCGCGATCCATCACCACCACGTAATTCCACACATTTTCGGCATCAAAGAATTTTCTGAAGAAAAAAAAACATCGTAAGGCGCGAAAAAAAAAGTGACTCAGAAGAAGTAGATAAAAAAAGGAACAGAAATTTCAGTTTCGCATATTTACTTTCTTACTCTTTGCTTTCATTATTGTCATCGTTATCTTTGCCTGATTGGTGCTGCCAATATCGCTACTCCTTTTTTTTTCTCTTTTATTTTCGAATCGTTTAAATTCATCGCTAAAACAATGGCAACAAACATAGACGGTATTTGGATAAACTAAAGTGCATTGATGTTACTTTGACATTTGATATATTTGCGTATATACTTGTGTATGTATAAGAAGGATAATATCCTTGTACCCGTTGACTTTGTTACCGAACAGACTTCTTATAGTAAGCCTATTAATTTGTTTGACGGAAAAAAAATAAGGAAAGAAAAAAATAAAATTATTTTGATGACATAAGATTCTGTACTCTGAAATGCATGGCATTCATTAGTCCGTCCAATTGGTGTCTTCAGTGGATGTAAGCAAAAAGTGAATCATTTAATGAGAACAGTGGAAAGTTCAAAAATCATCATTTGTTTACGTATAGTTTGTTTTGCCACTTAGAACAGAGCTGTTTGGTTATATTGTTGGTGTATAGTGGTGTATAAAATATATGTATATATGTTACGTACCCAATTGCTGGTAAACAACCAGGAACAGCTTTTGTTATGGCCAACAAACGAAATATTATTTGTTGGTCGAACATGTTGGCTGTTGTTCATAAAACGAAACCCAAATAACTGGTACACTAAACGGTAGGATTAGTAAAACGAAGAAGAAGAAGAAGATTTTCTTTACTTTTTTCTGCCATATAATCGGGTAAGTTAACAAACTTTTGTTCACTATTATTTTGGTTATAAAACAAAATTTTTTTCTAGTTTTTTTTGGTTTAATCAAAAAGAAGACGACTGACAAAGGATTACAGTTTTGCAAAGTTTTATTTCACTT